AGCCTTCCTGAGTGCAGATCAGGGTAATTAAAACTACCTGGAGGGAACCTGCCAGGGCAGCTGAGTAGCCTTCCCCAGGAAACACCCTGCTCGCTCCCTCCCCAGATGCACAGAACTCTTTTATCAAAGCAAGTTTTGTCACATTTCTGCCCATAGACCATGAGCTTCTCTAGGGTAAGGATTGCATCTCTCTTACCCTGGCTACAGAGACAACTTGCAGAAACCTTAAAACTACTTGATCTGAGAGTTAAGGGAAGGGTTTCAAGTAGTGCACTGATGACTGGGAAAGGAGAGGCGTAGTCACATAATTCATTTAATCACTCATCATTTAGGAACCAATAGAGATAGATAATAGCTCAAGTATTGTGTATAGTATTATCTTCCACTATACTAAGAGTTCAGTCTAGTGGAAGAGTCATGTAGGCACATAAATGCATTACACAGCTTTTTAGAGAGGCATAAAATGAAGCGCTAAAATGAAGTACTGTGTAAGTAGTACACCTCCTCAATAGTTACTCTGTATCATTACCATTTTCTTCCAACCCTTTAAAATCTTGGATTAACCTGTTTACTATTTTGCCTGTCTTGCCTCACAAGAATGTAAGAGCAGGGACGTTGTCTTTGTCCAGCTCAGTGATATGGCGCTAGAGTCCAGAACAGTACTTGGCAAATAGTACGCTCTCAATGAACATTTATCAAATGAATACATAACTCTGCCTTGAAAGGACAAGGGATTTAATTCCAGGCAGAGGAACAATAGGAGCACCATGAAAAATGATGGGCTGAGTTGGCAAAGGCAAGCCAAACCAAAAGGAAAAGGATCTTTGAAAGTGTGCCTGCCTGTGGGAAGAGAGAAGCTGAGACTAGAAAGATTCAAGAGCCAAGCTCTTCTTAGCCAGGCAAAGCCAGAGCCATGTTTAATCATCCTTCCCAGTCAACGTACAGGCTGGACAGAGGCTCTTCACTGGTCAACCTGTCTCCAGTATGGTATTTGCCCTTCTGTCCTGTACTTACCCCTGCCTCAGTTTCCCCCAAACTCTCCAGATTCCCACAGAACAAGGGCCAAACTCCTAGGAGTCAAAGCCCTTCGTTATCTAGCTACTACCTAGCGTCAAGCTCTGTTCCCAGAATACATACATGTGTTTTCTACTCTGGCTAAACAAGAAATGTCGTCCCTGCACACCATGATTTGCCACCACCCAGCCTTTGCTTGTTTCAAGTCCCACTTCCTACCTTTGCCTGGGCCCTATCCATCCTTTGAAACCTCACTTCAACTCTACCTCCACGAATGAAGCCTTCCCTCATCACTAACTATGGCTACTTAGAACCATCTCTTTCTCTTGGTCCATAACCTGTACCATTCACGCTCTTAGACTTTTACCTTGCCTGCTTATATTCCTTGCTAGGCTGACCACCTTCTTAGGGGTCAAAATCCAACTGACCAAGCATTTAATTCCAAGTCAGATACTGGGAATGTAAGACATAGAACAGACTAGCGGTACTTACAGAACTTGTCAGGCTTTTAAACCTCAAGTCTGTCCTCCACAAATCAAAGACAACAGTGATGCCTGAATGATTGAAAAATACTCAAAACCAATATGAACATGTCTTTCCCAACTTAGTTCCCATTAAAACAAAGAACTAGTGAGTATCAAGCCAGGTTAACACCTTTCACTGACCAAAGGTCCGATGAGCAAAAAGTACATAGGAACTTTCAATTATAGAAATTAAGCATCAGGAAATTCGGATCAATTTACTGCTAAGGCCAACTAAAAAGCAGTGGAAATGTAAAAGCACAAAAAGTCTAAGCAGGTAATGAGGAATTACTGAGCCAAAATCTAGGTGAGAACCCAGACAGACACCTTAAAGCTAGGATTCTGAAGTATTACACTTTAAAGATATGGATGAAACAAAGGTAAACCCAGTCCTCACATGAATTTGATACCTGGTTGTGTGCCATCTGAATTAAGGAGGTTTGCTAATAGTCCCAGGCCCAGGCAACAAGAAATCCTTCCTAGAGGTAGATGCCTCATCCTAATCCTGTTTATTTCTACAAACAATTTTTCAAATATACTGTCCAGCTCACAATAACCTGGCATAAAAAGAGACAAGACAGGGCCGGCCGAGTAGCTCAGTTGGTTAAGAGCTCACTCAAGTGCGAGCTCTGAGCAACAGGGTCACCGGTTCGATTCACGCCCCGAGCTGAGCTGCCGATGAGCTGCCAACAGGTGGCAGGATGGCTCAGCTAAAAAAATAAAAAAGACACTATAAACAACAAGAGATCCATTAAGACTTCAGGTCTTAAAATTTTAGACAAAGTTATCACACCCTCCCTCCAATGACGTGTTACTTATTTGAAAGTATGGTTTGGGGTGGGTAGCTGGAAATCTTTCCCAAGGTAAACCTGCTACTTTCTTCCTGAAGGTGTCAACCTTATCCAAGGTCATTTAACTGTAGCTACAGAAGACTGTAGCACTCTCTGAAGCTGTTTTAATTAAAGGAGCAAGTCGCCAGTGCAGCAGAGAAGTCCCTGTTCCTCAAGAACAATATTTAACAAATTACCTTTAAACCCATGCTATCTTCTAATATGAAATTCTCATAACTCACTTTTGTATCTGAAGTTGCAAAATTAAATGCTGCTCTAAAAAGTTCATTATCTTTTTCTGTAAGAACTCACTTTGGCATTTCAGTTTTCATTTGTAAGCAGAGGATTTTCTCATTATACCTCAACCTGAGGTGTAACTCCTCTAGGAATGATAAATTAGGGTGTCTACCAATCCATGATGCACCGAGTTGGTCTTGTGAGCTTTTCCAAATGCACATCAATGCTACAGGGCAGAGCCCACACTTTTCTGTAAATGGCCAGAGTAAATATTTTCAACTCTATGGCCCATATTGTCTGTGTCTGGGGTTGCAGTGTGAAAGCAGCCATGTGCAAACTAATAGGTGTGACAGTGTTCAAATAAAACTTTACAAAAACAGGGCCAGCCGAGTGGCGCGATGGTTTAAGAGCTGGCTTGGGACGCCAGAGGGCCCCGGTTCAGATCCCACATATGAGGGCCAGTGACACTGCCTTCTACAGCTAAAATGCTTTACAGCTCAACCTGGAGTTGGGCTGCTGTGAGTCGCCGGCAACGGCGTAGGCTGCAGCCCCTGTGGCAGTGGGTTGCCATGGGCTACTGTATATAGTCAGCAGCCAGCGTGAGCGGCCAGCAGCCACTGTGAGCGGCCATCCAGAAGCCGGTGACTGGTCTGCCTCGCCCGGGAAGAGCGCAATGATGGTGCCAACTTGGGTCAGTGAAGCAACGTCCTCCACAACTAGACTGAAGAATAAAAGGACAGCAACTTGTCTGTTCCCCTTCCCCCAATTCCCCAGCACTGTTCCCATCCCCCCAATTCCCCAATAAAAATCTTTAAAAAAAACTTTACAAAAACAGGGCAGTTTGCTGCCCCCTGATATAGTGAATAACAAAATACAGATCCACTGAAAGTCACCACTGAATAATGTCATCCATCTTTTATTGTTGTCTTAGTCACTAACACTTAAATAGTACAAATACTAATAAGAGAATGTGAAATTCTGATGTTAACAAGGGGCTCCTTCATACTGCAAAGCTGAGAATCACTGCTGCAGATGGGAAGATTTTGGTCTTCAGAGATGATGAAGACCACTGTAAAGAAACCTGCTGTATCATTTTCAGGTGCATATTCTATGTCCCAAGCTGTGCTAAATACTTTATTTACAAGGACTATTTAATTGAATCTTGCATTTGAAAACGAAACCCAGTGATGTACACAAATTACCCTTGTTTTACAAATAAAAAAAAATTAAGGCTCAGAAAGTTCAGTAACTTGGCAAGGCTCACATAGCAAACTAATGGCAGAGCAGACTAAAATCTAGGGCTACAAACATCCAAAAGCCATTCCTTTTACTATGATACTAGCCAACTAATCCTCCCTAATGGGCAGAAAAGATTCACCATGTGTGGAAGCTGGCCCAAGTGTTTACATCCCCTAATGTTCTTCTCCTTGGAGAGCGATTAACAAGCATCAATGCCTCAGAATTTCGGATCTCCCCTGTACTCCTCTGACCTAGGGAAGGACACTTAACTTCTTTCATTCCCCTTAAACTTAAGGCTTTACTAATACAGAGGATAACAAATAAAATTAAGAGAAAAAAAATTTAACTAGCTCACTAAATATGGCTGTTCTGAGACCACAGGTCCTGGCCCATCCTCTATAGGTCTTTGTAGGTTGACTTCTTCCCTGGGCCTTAACCTATCTTCATGGGACAAAGACACTTCCCTATCTGGGCATGTCCCTAAATTCAAGCCCTAGAAATCAAGATCTAGGGAAAAACTCCTTTTGCTAGTGTAAGGTCTACCTTCCAGGTCCTCATTATCTATCCTAGAAACCATCTTTTCTCTGGATAAAACATTCAACAAACATGTCTAGTCCCTTTGAAGGAGATTCCAAAACCCAGCCATGGTGATGCGGTCTTACCCTGTGGTCCCAAAGGGCAACCATATCATAATACAACAGCCTGTCATTGTCCTTATACAAACTTACTCTACTTGCCAGTCAGAAGCCACTTAGAAATGGGGCTGACACTTGCAATAGTGAGTGAGCACATCACTGACCCTGTAACAAGCAGACTTCAGTGAGGCAGTGTTCCCCGTTCCTGGTCCATCCTTCAGGACTTTTGATGGCCCCTTCAAGTTTTGGTGTGACTATCCCACTGTAAGCCCACTCCCATTACTGCCACTGCCATGCTCCTCTTCCAGAAACAAGTGACTACCCTGGAAAAAGAAGAGATAAAACAAACTGCCCTTCAAATAGGAAGTAAAATAATTCTTTAATCATCAAAATATCACTGCTGGGCTTAAAAAAAAAAGTCTGTAACTCTTAAATGTAATGTTGAACTTGGAAAATGGTTACAGCAGTCTCACATAAATTATTTTAATTAATAAATATTATCACAGTATTAAGAAGGCAAGGTAAACAAATAGCTTAAGTATTTTATTTGTTTGCAACTAAGCTTGTTAACACTATATAATGAAAATGTACAAAGAATAACATTGCAGTTTTTGGTTAGATTTAAGTCAAAGACATTCATTAACAAGGAATCTTCCAATGTGAATATTCCAGAAATTTCTCTAAGCCATCTGATCAGAACTGTCTCTGAATATTACCTTACTTTGGAAGGTATTGGCATACATTTGAATTAACCCTCAGAATTTTTCAAAATAAGCCCTAATTAAAAAAACTATTCTATATTCAAACTAAAACAATTTTATTAGAACTTTCCAGAAACAATAATAAATGAAACAAGGCATTTTGTAAAATGTGGTCCTGAACAAGTCACAGTAAAAAATAAATGTATACTTAACTGCCACCTCCTCAAAACAGAGGCTGCTTTCTGTTCCTCAGCCCTGGCAACAAGGTGAAGAGCTGTCTGTAAGCAATTTCGGGCAGGGGTCGCCAAAACAAAGATCAAGCAGTTGAACACGGGCACCTCTCAAAAGAATTTGGGGGAAGCGGACCAAAGAATCCAATCTACATCTAACTGATAGAAAGGTGAAGCGGCTCCCCCCAAGTAGCAGTGCCATGGGGCCTGGCCCAGCCCCGTGCTCCCTATGTGATGGTCCAGCTCCAGGGGAGACTTTCTCTTTTCAGAGGTTCAGTGTCCAGGGAGCTCTTTGTGTGAATGAGGTGAGCACAGACTCCATGTGGGTATTTTAAGGCTTGGAGTCAAAGTATTGGTGTAACACGGCTAGGCAGAGTCCTTGTATCAAATGGCCCGTCTCCGGTTTGTCCTAATTCCTCACCGTGCATTTGTAGACTTAGAACCACAGACCTTTGCTATATCATTATAATCACATGTAATGTCCATCCTAACTTATGATTCATATTCTGTGCCTGGATACAGTCCCTGTATTTAACAGTAATACCTACACATAAAACAACCCACGGTTACAACTTCTATGGTCACAAAACATTAATGATCCTCTGTAGACCAAGCAAATGTTTTTAACCATATTTGTCGTGCATCAAATTCACAGCCAGGATCCCCAAGATCAAAAAAATTTGCACAATACAAATAATAACTTAAAATACACATACACACATATACACACACTCTCACACACACTTCTTACAGAACTGTGCTTGGGGAAACTCCATTTGTTGCGTGCCACTGAGGGCATATTTTGCTAAACTGCTGCTCCAGGTATTATGTTTGGAAAATCTATCACAGTAGGGCACAACCGTTTATTGGATGAGCAGAAAAGAAAGATATGCTTGTGGCAACCAGAAAGTTTTACGGTCTTTCAAGTTGTATAAAATGGACCTGCAGAAACATTTAAGTGTTCTCAGGATGCAAAGTTGGAGCTGAAATGTGATATCAAACCAGTTGCAAAAAGTGTACAGCAGCCATCTCTTGAGGTCAAACCTGGTACCCAGATATGCAAGAAAGCTTCAGGACACATCTATAAATTAGGAATAAAAAACAAAACAGTATAAGAATACTAAAAATATAGTGTTGTGCTTTTTAAATATTAACTAATGGTAAATGTGATAAACTACATGGAGAATGAGTCACCACTTAAAAGGTCCTAAATTCTCAAGAATTTAAGAAACCTGACTATGGTTCAGTTTAGATATATAGTTATTTATAATTTATGTTTTGAGTGACTGGTAGTTGCAAGGTGTTTAGAATTAAGAAATTCTGAACACACACTTGGTAAGTTAGCCTAAGGAATCAACTTTCATAAATTAACAATTAAAACTACCTTTCTGGGGAAAAGTCAGGTAATAAACAAATTGGCACTGGAGTCAGTCTACCTAAGTTTCAACCCAGGCTGAACCACTTAGCTTGGAAAACTATTAACGTCTTTTAAGTGCTATCTTTACCTGTAAAATAGGGCCAATAACGGTTCCTCCTCCATAGGGTTATGGTGGATGAAATCAACTTTGTGAGAATTTAAAGGGCTCAGCACAATGCTAGGCACATAAGAATTCTTTAAATGCTAGCTATTATTTTACTTCACAGATGCTTTTTGCTTCCAGGAGACAAGGTATTCAATTTCAAAATTTTGCTCTCGGAAGTTGGGAAATTCAAAGAAAAACTTGGCAATACTTACAGCTTGTGGGCCTTGTCCCATATCGTCGCATAATCTGATCATGTGTGAATTTCACAAAAGATTCATATTGTTCTGTGAGGGGAAAGACAGTATATACTATCCCCAGAAACTCTCCCCCAGTTTTCCAAGAATCAAAGGTCAGGACCACATCTAACTTCCCAGTTTAAATCATCCAATCTCAGGCCCTTCTTTTAACAGTTACTCTGATATTTGTTACTTCCTCTTAAGATCCCAGAGCAAAATCCCTGGCTCCTAGATTTGGTCACTGATCATCCATAATATAACATTTTTCTAATAATCTCTCCCCTGCTGTAACTCTATCCCCTACTAATGGCTTCCCAAGACAGACAGATATGCTCACTCCTATAAGCCAGCACATTTTAGGTTACCTCCTATAGGATATGAAGCTTGAAGTTCTTTTCTGTACTCTATCCTTGCTACAAATTTCAACATATATACTGAGCAAAAGAGGTGGGATGACAAGACAGCTAAGAGAAAATTCCATACTACCTAAGTATAGAGAGTTCCACAGAAGTACCTTCTAAAGACAAACTCAGTAGAAAGACAGAAGGCTGCCAGGCATCTGTGAATCCAGAAGTGACAGAGCCAGCTGCTGTGAACAATTTTGGAGTGGGGGTAGGAAAGGGGAATGATATAGTAGTTTCTTCTTATAATACATATTAGTATATTAAGGGGTCAAAGAAGTTCTACTATAAAGAAATCCATTTAACTTTGTTGATAAACAAACAGTTCTCAATTTAAAGCAGACCTATGAACATTTCTGAGGAACCATGTGGTTGAGTCACCAGATTAGGAAACAATACTGTTACAGGAAGCAGTTGTTGCCTAAAACCCCTCTGATCATACTATCACTATCTTTCACTAAATAGGTGCTTTCTATTCCTGATTCAGGTTCCTTTCCACAAAAGGCACTAACTCGTTGCCATCATTATTCACTCCCTTTGTTCTCTCCTGAGCTCTGCTTTCTAAACTTTAATGTACCTCCAAATCACAGGATGCCTGACTTCCCACACCCAGTGACTCCCACCAGGAAGTATGATTATGTTGACAGTGTGACACTCTTCCCAACCACCTGTTGATGTTAGCACTATCCCAACCACTTGTTTACAGGCCAGCTTGACAAACATCCTACTCAATACCTTCGTTTGGATGGAAAATTCTCAAAAGAAAAGCTTGGTTTATCTTATTTCAGAAATGTAAATGAAAAGTCCTTCCACATAACCTATATATGAAATGTTTAGAATCACCCAAGGGAGTAACTTAATACTCACAACTCACTAAACCTTCTTGGATGATGTTCTACTGCTAAGTTACCACTTACTTAACTGGGATTAATCCTTACTGAACCTTATCAACAATGGCATAGCCACTGCCTCAGCTTACCTGCTAGTTTGGTATTGAGGATTTGCTCATACTCCTCCCGAATTTTATCTTCATAGTCTTTTAAGAGACGCTCACATATTATTCCAACTTGTCGG